TTTTAAACCTTGGTCCTGAGTCAAAGCAAGAAGCAAGATGAAGGTTCCCACTTACACTGCTGGCTACTTGGCTACTCATGTCTGTGTCAGAATTATAGCTCCTCCCTGTTGTATACAACCAGCACCTTCTCCACAGTGGCTAATGCTTCATTCAGTTGTCTTTTCCACTGGAAAGACTTATTTCAGTTTTAGTTATGGGAGGGTATGTGAGGTCTGTGTGTGCCTTGTATGTGTGGCTGCCCATGGAGGCCAGTTAGCCCTGATGTAGATGCTGAGAACTAAGCTCTGATCCTCTGAGAAAGCAGCAAGCACTCTTAGCCACGGAGTCATCTCTCCAGTCCTGTGTTTTCTGCTTTTAGAACTTTATTCTTGATCTTGAAGTCCCATAATAAGACTTCCTACCATTATACCTTTGTCTTGTTTTACTGAGATTGCCTTGTTAGGTTCTGGTTTGCCGAGATTTATGTTTTTAAAAGATTCCCACATTATTATTTTGATTTACTGTTTTTTCGAGACAGGATTTCTCTGTATAGCCCTGGCAAACCTGAAACTCTCTGTAGATTAGGCTGGCCTCGAACTCAGAGATTCACCTGCTTCTGCCTCCCAAGTGCGGAGGTTAAAGGTATATACCATTACCACCCTGCTGTTCCCACCATGTTATTACCTTTGGTTGTCTAATTTCTCATCTGACTTAGTATAGGTTATATTTTATGGAATATGTTTTTCTTGAAACCCTTGTTCCTTCCTATAGGACCATACCTGGTGTCTTCCATATCTACTTCCCATGGCATGATCCTCACTGCCCAAGACTTTCCTATTTTTTTTTTTTTTTTTGGTCTGGCTCAAAGCAAGCATCATTGCAGGTGTTGAGGAAGACTAACAAGTTATGCTGTCCACAAACTTGGAAGATCCTCAGCTGACCACGGTTGAAACATACACCTACCTCTGTCAGGGGAGAATGGGTGATTGGTAATGATAGCACTGGGCCCAGAACCAGAGGCTTTATTGCAACCTGTTAGGGATCTGACGCAGGTGTGGGAGATTCTGGGGTATGCGTGCTATACCACTCTGTAATGTAGAAAAGTGTTAGATACATCTATCAGCACAAAACACAGAAGAATAAAGTATATTGCTGGTATGTGAAGGCTCCTATTGAAATATAAGTACTGAGAATGCTGACTGCCAGAATGTGGATTTATGGGAAATAAAGCCCTAAAATACTTTCTCCAACAGCAACAAAAATATAGACCTCTTGGAAACAGCTTTTCCTCTCTGTGTACTTAGCTCCCATTGAGCTTAAATTGCTCTCAGTATTGGGATAATGACAATTCGATAATACAGGATGTGGAAGACAAACCAAATAAATTAACCAGCTGCTTTTAAGGCCAGTTCGCTCAATGACTGAGCCCGAAAATGCTTTGTAGAGCATTCATGCTCAGTGGGTCTCTAGGCAGTTTTACGACTAGAAGAAAGAAATGGATTTTATTAAATGTCAGTGAAATAGGGGCAGATAGCTTTGTGGTACTTAAATTAGTGCGGAATGTGTGTAAGAAAAGTAGTTTATCTTTCTCTAAATCATCAGTGCAGAACTTTGCTTGGCATTCCTGCTAGAAAATGTGTTCCGACTCAGAATTCCCCTAGATTAGGATAAGACAGTAAATGGAAGTGCACCATTTGGTGCTGATCTCCTGAGTGAAGCCCTGTGTCCCTTGGAGTAAATCCCACTGAAGGACAGTGATAAAAATTTCATCCATTACTGGCAGACACATGAAGTTGAGGCTTAGAAGCGAGAACTTGTGAGTGAGGAATACAGCCAGGTGAAGAGGGATGAGAGGCACTGCCGAGGATCCAGGGACTTAATGCTAGGAGAGGAGCTGCTTAGGTGCAGAGAGTTTGAGAGGCGAATGCCATCCAAGTCCAGAGAGCCTTCTGCAGGGCCCAGAGCATCACTGTGCAGACCAAACATAGGGCCCATCTGTGTCCCTCAATGTAAAGAGGGAAGGGGTGCCTTTACTGGATAGCGGTGCTGTGATTGGACCAGTATGGTTACAAAGCACATAACAGGACCAAGCAATTAGAGAGACATGACTTACAGAAGACGCTTGCTCATGATCCCATGAGCCCTGGATGGTAGTTATCTAGGTTTCTGGTACCAAGCCTGGTTCCCTTCCTGTTCATCAGGCCTTAACTCCAGTAGATAGCAGTTGGTTACTGCCAAGATATGAATGTCACTGTTACCCTTAGGGATATTTTGCCATTGTTGTTTGTTGTGGTTCAGAGACATCCCCGCTGGATTTCTTCAGATATAAGTATATGGCATGGAATTACTGCAGAAACCAGGAAACCATAATGAGATTGGGGGTCAGGGGGCTGTGAGTTGGGGTGAAAGAAGAGCAGAATGACTTCTTTTCTTTTATCTAGTCAGTTTTAGGGCATTTCTGTACTTTTAAAATGTTTTAATATAAGCAAGAAAAATCTACCCCCTTTCATTTAATTGCTCAGTTTTTAAAATTGCTATTGTCTCACTTTTTTTCTTTCAAATGAATTTCTAGTACTTTGGGAATAACTAGAATTAATCTTACGGGATTTTCTATGGTCCTCCACAAGAGTCACATGGTAAACTGATGCAACTGGACTAAAGCTCTTTTTCCGGACTTAATGGAGTGTCTTTGTTTGACTTCTGTGTGGCTTAACGTCCATATCTGTGCTCTTACACTTTTCCCATTTGATTGGTTCCTTGAAGGTTAGTTGGCTTTGTGACATGGCTGTCCTCCTGCTTAGAACTCTAAGTACAATATGATTTTCCCTCTTACAAAGTTTGGAAATATTTTTTAATCTTCCATTGTCCTTTATTATTTTTGCCATCCCTGAAGAATGGTGATATGAAGGATTAAATCTAACTTTTAAAGTTCTTGTCTTCTCTGCGGGATATCTTTAGCCTGTGGCATCACCAGTGAGAGATTTATCCCATTCCCTAGCTAATATCAATTCTTTTCGGGTACTGAGCCTTCTGTAGGTGCTCAGCAATTCCAGTGTCCCACGTTCCTTCTCAATTGTGCTTTTCACAGCGGGAGTGGTGACAGCTTGGCCCATGCACCTGAGCCATTGTGTTTCAGTGTGGTTTTTCCAGGAGTAGCCCCACAGTCACCCCGAGCACTGAGCATGTAGGCTGGCACTCTGGCACCCAGCCGAGCGGCTTTTGGCAGACTGTTTTAGGGAGAATGTTTAATCACAGCCTTTACTGGGTTTTCTAACTTTTTATAGAGTTTGTAGAAATTTTCATTTAAACTTTGGAGTGGGTTGACACAGTGCATATTGTTTGTCTTTCCTCTCAGTACCGAGTTGGTCGGGAAGTGGGGATTGATGGCGGGAGTAATATGCTGCCACTCTACCAGGCTTCCTTCCTCTCCACTCAGCCTGAATTCATCTTAGCAGCTGGTGGTCAGTGCTCACTGTGCCCCGCCCATTTCTCACCGTCCCCTCCAGACCAAGGCCCCTGCCAGAAGAGAATCTGTGATCTTACCAGTTTCTCCTGGTAAGAATAATTATTAACTGCTTATTGGTAGAGGATTAGTTAGTAATCCTTTCCTGTTGCTAAAAATACACTCTTAAATTTTTCCTACTTTTCCCAGTTTCAAACCTTGTAGCAAATGCATCATTCCGTTCACTTGACTGGGCAGCATCCTGGCTACTGGCTAGGTCCTTTTCCTGTGTGACACAAGGGGAAGATTCTGAATTCAGTACAGGGACACCCTGTAGATTCCTAGCGAGGTAGCTAAGGATGGGTGATTAGAGAATCAGTGAAACTGGTGGGTATTTCTGATGAAAGACAGGTGAGGTCAGCTTACTTTTGTACAGTTAACTTCAAGCATTTATAGCATGTTAACATGAGTATATTCAGCTTACTTGTGAGAATGCCCATTTTCTTTTCTATATCAAGTCTAATTGTGGAAATGTAAAGAATGAAATAGATATGTAGGAAATATAAGTAAAATGTAAATTTAGTCTTCATGCATATTCTTTCCTCCCTGATGCTTCCGACACGGTTGGAGATACACAGAACACGGAGGTGAACTGACATAGGAGCTTTGAATATTTCCTTGCCTTCTCTGGTAGCACCTGCCAGTAATCCTAGATTTGGAGGGAAGAGAGATCGTAGGCCCACAGTTCTACAAAGTGCTAGGCCAGCAGTAGTTCTGTCATGGCACGTGTTCTCAGTACCAGCATACAGCGTAGAACACATACTCCTGGATGATGTGCTTTGAGTGACACATTGTATAAATGTCACAGCTTAAAGAATTGAAGTTGGGTATATCAAGAAAAATATTTTATAATGCATGAATTATCAGAACTATATCTTCTTCAGGATTAAGGAGTTTTTACCAATTATATTTTATATTAAAATTTCCAGTAGGGTTTCACAATAGATTCTTCTCTTTACACAGTGTCTAGCTACTGTGGACTTCTTAAAAACCCTAAATCCTAAAGCAAATGGTCCATACTTTGTAACTTAATTTACTGTTCAAAAGATACTGTCAAATTATTTGCCTTGGATTAAATGAAAGAAAAGCTGACCGTTTCAAACTAAAGCAGTTTAATCTGTGATGACTGTCTTGTCAGAGAGGAATTTAAGAGATTTTGATTTCCTGGCTTACAAAATGAATTAGTTCCTAGTTCCTTATTTGGAAAGCTTCTCTGAAGCTGCTAGTCGGGAAGGCATTGTTTGCCCAGAGTCCTGATGTTGTGGTGCCATCTTGTGGCAGAGATTTGTCATAACCTCAGTGCTCGAATCTGATTTAAATAGTGATACAGGCAGTTCAAGATACATAGGGAATTCTTTCCAAACGTAGGTTACCTAATAAAAAATAAACAGAAGCACGCACACACAAATTATTTAGAATGGCTTATTTGTCGTTTGGTGACACCGACAGGCAGAAACGGTGAGTAAAAGACCAGTGTGACGCTGGTATCTGAAAATCTGTGTTTTGCTGTGTCCTCAGCTGCTGCTGTTTGAACGGACGTGGATGAACAGATGGAAATCTTCTGTCCTGCATGAAGGGGAAGGGAACATAAGGAGCGTGAAGTGGAGAGGCCATCTGATTGCTTGGGCCAATAACATGGTAAAGGCACATGTCTGTCTCTAACACTTGTGCAGTGGCAGAAGGTTGGCGAGATCGAAAGGTCTGCGGCAGAGAAGACACGTGGTGGGCGATGATTCTCATAGACACAAGAGACACTGATCCCATCCCTCAGAGCCAGAGGAAGGCAGATCACGCTGGGGTTTCGTAGTATATTTATTCCCAACACACTGTAGACTATGTTTTAGTGTAAGAATCCTGAAGTATGGAGTAGCCAAGAGAATGAAAAGCCATTTTAATAATTGAAGCACTGCTTCAGGAATGAGCTCTGCCATTTACCCGTTTCCCATGGGCCACTGTTAGAAGCAAGTATAGACTGTTTTTATTTCTTCTTTGCTTCCAGTATAATCATAGGCCAAAACACAGGCCTCCCTATAAAAAGTGTATTGTACTTTCAATATTGCACTGATTTAAAGTTTATTTAATAAAGTGGGGGTTGGAGAAAGTTTAAAAAAATAGTTTTTTTTCTTATCTGTCATATTTTCTGAAATTTCATTACATAGTTGAGAAAAAATCAGTCCATTCAGTTAGAAATGGTAGTAACTTTCTCAGTTCAACCCTACTGTTTGGGCTTTTTCTTACTTTTCTTGGTTCTCAACAAAAGTAAACAACCATGGTCTCAAGGCTCATCTTCAGCAGGCAGTATTCTTGATGTTTCCATTTGAGCAGTGTGAAATGTCCCGTGTGGTTTTCTTTGAATGGATGGGTTTTCAGAACCAACACTTTCTGAAGAACCAAACTCATTCCTATGCAGAAAGCTCCATCAGAAGTGCCTGTCCACTGTCAGGTTGCGAGTAAAATGGGTATATCTGTGTGGCGCATGTTTGTGTTGGATGTACAGCACCCATGATATCCACTAATAATGCAGCCTCTGTCCAGGAAGAAGTGTGGAGGTTGCCTTCAGTTTTGGTTCTCATGTGGTTTCTATGAAACATGACCGTGCCTTTGTGTGGCTCCTTAGCATGCCCAGTAAACACCATCATTGTTTTGATATAGCACACCTAATGTTATGTTCCTTCCCCAGAATGCAGGATGCTTAACATGGTTTTGTTTTGTAGGGTGTGAAGATTTTTGACATTACCTCCAAGCAAAGAATCACCAATGTTCCCCGAGATGATATAAGTCTTCGCCCAGATATGTATCCCTGCAGCCTCTGCTGGAAGGACCCCGTGACACTCATTATTGGCTGGGGAACTTCCATCAAGGTGCTTTACCCGGCCTTTATATTAAACCCAAATCATAACAGCTTTGTTGAGAGTTGTCTGAAAAGATTTGTATTCACAGATATGTTTCTGGGAGACCTAATATTTTTCCCTGGATGCTGTGGTGATAGAACAGTTTATTCACGAGTACAGATGTTAAGATGTGCTCCTTCTTTTCTATGATGTGCAAAGTAATCGCTCTTTTCTGTTCTCAGGATGACGCTGTATTTGTTGAGTTCTGTTTTAATTTCCCACAATCCCACTTCAGTCCCTTAGCTGTTTATGGAACACGTGGTTGGCTTTGGTGGTTTTGTTAGGCGCTCATCTCCATGTTATCCTTCCTTTGTCTTTAGCTGTGACCATTGGTTTCATTTCGGTTATTGACGGTAATGGCATAAGATTAAATCACCCTGCATGTTTCCTAATTTAATGACATAGAGACCCTGGCTCATTATCCATAATTTGATTGAAGAACATTTTTCTTACATTTGATTATCTCATTCATATGTGCCTGATAGAGTAAAGCTGCCTCCAGACCCCAACTGCCTTTATTTCATGCTTACCAGTGCTTCTGCTAGAGTAAGTACTTGAATCTCAAAAGCTATTTTTTCCCTTAAAGATGCAATACATAATTTAAAAAAGAAACTAAGATTTAGCTGAGGGGAAAACATATGAAAAAAGTATCTCAGCAATAGTTTAATATTTAGAGTCCGACAGACTTGAGATTGATTCCATTTTTTCCACTTCCCTCTTAGATGTATGCAGGAGGGTATAGAACTTGGCACATTGTAGTAGCTTATAAATGTTACCTATTAAAACGTAAATCCTGTAAGGGACATGAGAGACATGAGTAGAGAGGAAGAGCGTGACAGCGGCTGGTGTGGTGCCCTGCTGCCCAATCCATGCTCTTCCTGTCCTCACAGTGCTGGCATGCAGGTTCCCTTCTCTGTAGATTGGACTTGAAGGGCATATATATGAAAAAATACGTGATTCAGTTTACGATGGAGTGACTGCCCTGAGTTGCTCATCTAGGAGAGGACAAGCTGACCAGGCTTAGGGTCTCTCTCAGGGCCTTCAAAGAAGTGCTGTCCTGCTGCACACTTCGTGTCTCCTGATTAGTGAAAGTGGTTAGTCTTGAAGCTGTAGACCTGTAAGTGACTGCATTTCCAGATTTGTGGTTATGTGTTAGATCAGTCATGGATAATGAGTACACATTTCTCTATGCTTAAATAATGTCCTACAAATTTTATGTCAAGTATGTTACTTTATTAGGGATTTTCTTCTTCAGACTAAGTCATATTTTGAGCATTTCTCAATTCAAAATCTTGGTGAGCAATCTTGATTGAGAGGAACAACTAGAAGCAGCGCAATAAAGCATATAGTTAGAGATATGCTCTGTTCATTTTGTGTGACCACCAAACACTTGCCGAGCATTTGCAGGCAGCGGCTGCCGCAGATACAACAAAAGGCAAGTTAGTCCTTTCTTTTGCAGACAATTTCTGTTTTGGTAAAGGAAGACAGACAGAAATCAAAGAGCAAATAAGCGCCTGTTGGTGATGGTAAATAGAAGGAGGACATTTAAACGGGATAAAGGTGAAGGGGCTCTCGGAAAGCTACTGTCCTGTTGGTGAGAGCTCTGAGAGGGGAAGTTGTGCAGTTCTGAGGAGGTGCTGAGATGGAGCAGCTGGAAACCATTGTCAAGAGTGGAGCAGGTGGAGAAGAGGGTGGATGAAGACAGTGGGAAAGCGGGTTGTGTGGGGGTGGGGTATTAGAGTGGGTAGTATCCTGCTTATGGGCCCTGGGAAATCTGACCTCTCATTGAGTCGGGTGGGAGACCTGCAGTGGATGCTACAGTAGAGTTAGTTAAATGACCTAACTTGTATAAGGATCACTATGGTTGTGCAGAGCTATATAGCAAAGACAGTGGAGAGGAGAGAGCAGACAGGAGGCCACTGCTGTTAGATAGTAGTGTAATGTCTTCTTGTACCTGTGTTGTGGAGCTGGTGAGAGAGACTGGACTGTGGTGTATTCTGAAAGTGAACTGTTCTGTATTGAGTAATGATTGAACAAGGGATATAAGAAAAAGAGAAGTCAGTGTTACCTAAGGAACTAGAAGGTGAAACATTCCTGCTCATGGAGTTCGCTTCCAGAAAAAAGATGCCCATGTGGAGATGTGGAGGAGATAGTTAAAAGAAGCATCTTGGCGTCCATGGGTAAAACGTTGCCTAAAAGGAAATGGCCTTCAAATCTTTAATGTGCTTCAGTGCAGGCCACAAGCTCACTGGAGCATCTCTGCCTGTGCACTCTCCGAACCTGCTGCTTCAGACCACAGAGCTGAGGAGCAGTGGAGTAGAGCGGTCCGGCAGCCAGAGGATGGTGCCCAAGTCTTGCACTGATCACGGATATGCGCTAGCCCTTTAACTCTAATCCTGTGGTTTAAGTAACTTCCAGTCTCAGGTTTCTCATCTTAGATTAAACATGGTGGCATTGCCTTTCATGGGTATCTGTGTGTCAGAAAGTTTGGTCAGTCCACAGGTTCTCAAGGTTCTGTCTTCACTTCTTTTAATTTCCATCAAGTCTCCCTGGCTCTTGTCTCTGCCCTCCAAAGTGCAGCTAGAAGAGTGTATAGAGACTGCAGTCGGAGGTCCGTTTCTTCTGTACAGCTATTGAGATGTGCTATTATCATGCGGGGACTGATCTTCACCATGCCTTCCAAGGCTGTGCATGATCCAACCTCTTTGTTCTTTTTTGGGCTCATCTCTGCCCCATATCTTATATTTTCAGTTTCTGTCTGACCTTCTAGCTGAAAGACTTGTCCCATGTACCTGTTTTGCCTTCTTGGTTCCTCTTCCATGTCCCTTCTTCCAGAAAGCCTGCCTACCTGCAGTGCATGCCCTACTTCCCTACCACACTTGAGTCAAGTGCCTTATCGCACGTCTGCACACTCATTTTAACAAAATAACTAACTCAGGATTGGTGTGCAGTCATCGCTCTGAAAGTGCTGGCTAATATCGACATTATATTTTCTTTATTGCTGTACTCCAATCATCTCCTTGGCCACTTTTATCAGCACATCAAAATGACCGTCCATTTGGCATTGTGAAATGTTCCCCTTAGATGATTTAATAGTTTCCTTTGTAAGTATGGGGAAAAAGAATTGGTCCCTTATAAACTCAGAAGTCCATCAGAAAGAGAAGGAAACTGGGGGAAATAGACAGGAGAAGAATGTCCAAAAGTAATTAAAGAGAAAAGCTACTGGTCACATACTTGTGGATCCTCACATGCCTGCAGCCATGGGATGTTGTCCTACGTTAAGGAAGCGTTCTCTGAGGCCTTCACCAAGTTGCTGCAGTGCTGAAAACCAGTTTAGACAAAAAAATACCAAGTATTTCTAACCCTTGGGCCTCTTTATAACTAGTAATTTATCCTAAATAAAGTCCCTAACAGTTTATTTTTAAGCATATTGTGCATGCTATTATGTTTATGATATTCATGGATAGAAAAAGAAGACAGTGGGTAAGTTAATCAAATATGTTATAATAGTTTATTATGCTACATTATAATGACACTGAAGATTTATATGGTAGAATGTTTAAATGATAATTATTATTTATAGCAAGCCTTCACATGAACAGCGGTAGCTCTACAGTAGACAACGATCACAGGTGTTGTCCTTGGGCTGACACTTTGTTCATACTTCTTTTGCCATTCGTCTGTCTACTGTAGACACTAGATTTCCAGTGTTCCATAGTGTCGTGATACTTAGGCTAGTGGCTGTAATAGCACTCTCTATATATATATGTGAAGGAAGAATCCTAATCACTGAATTGTGAGATCAGTATCTTCTAGTTCAATCTTATATACAGGGCCAGATCTTTAAAAATGCTCACTTCTTATTACAAAGTTGTATTTATTCACTTTGAATAGTACATTCATTTAGAAAGAGATAAGAAAGTATTTATTGTCTTGGTAATCTAAAAAAAATTCAACACACAACATGTGTTATCTAGTGTTTGTGTGAGAGTCTGGGAGGAGTCAGATTAAGGGATAGATTGATACATATTTAGTTACTGATTTTAAAAAGTACACAATTTTTATCTCAACTTTACATTTATAATTTAAAACAAAGACAAACTTTTTTTTTTTTTTTGAGAAACTGCTGATAGTAAAAACAGTAGACTTTTTGGCCACATACTTGCTACTCTTTTTCTGTCTTCCCTCACACAGTGGGAAACTCCTCTTAGCTTCCCAGCCACTTACATGTGTGATTGGAATAGGGTGCATGTAGACAGCAAGCTTTGTAAGTCAGGCATAGATGTCTATTCTACCCAAAATACCTTCAGCTTGTGTCTGTAGTTTTGAATAGGTCATTAGAAACACACATTTATATTAACGTGCTCTTTCTTTGACGTAGAGTGTAACTTTATTAGGCTAATGTTGGGGAATCTAAATAATGGTTGCCACAGGTTATTCAAACTAATTGCTTAATTTATTATTTACTTCATGTATATGGGTGTTTTGCCTGCATGCATGTCTGGGAAACTCATGCATGCAGTGCCCACAGAGGCAGAAGAAGACATTGGATACTTTGGAACTGGAGTTACAAAAGGTTGTAAGCCACCATGTTGGTACTGGGAGCTGAAGCCATGTTTTCTAAAAAAAGCAGCCAGTGCTCATATCTGCTGAGCCATCTTTCCAGCCTCTCAAACTAATTTCTGTCTTTTACATCTTAGGGTAGCTTATATGTGCTCCATCCTTGGATGACATGATGACCTTAAAAAATACCATACTGAGTAAAATGTTGTAGAAAATTTCCTGTCAAAGCTAGAAAATAACCCATGAATTTCCTTCCCAGGTATGTTCAGTGAAGGAACGTCACGCCAGTGAGATGAGGGATCTGCCAAGTCGATACGTTGAAATAGGTATGGGTCCCTCCCATGTATTCTGTGATGGTAAAACTTTCAGAGGACACCTGATTGTTACGTGGGAGTCGAAGGCCATATCCTCCTCCAAAGCCTATCTCTTGGTACTTTGATAAAATGGATTCAGAAAGCCTTCAAGTTTTGGAACCCCACTATGGAAAGCTCCCACCCCCATTTTTTTTCCAAACAAACAAAGATTTATATTTCTCATAATAATTTTATTGTTGGCTCTGAAGTCAGATAATCATGTATTTGGATTCTGGTTTTGATATTTACCACTAGGACCTTAGACAGATTTCTGCTGTTTCAATAAGCTTGTGGTAAAATGTGAGGAGAATATTTAAGGTTATAAGGAGTGTGGGGTGGTGCATGGATGCAACTAGTGCAGTCCTGACCGTTGTTTTTGTTGACTTGAAACTTCTCAATACTCATTTTTGTCACATTGCTCTGACCCCAGTTGCCACCATCTTTAATTGGAGCTGTACAGCTAGCTGTTGTCTTGATTTTGCCTGTTCCACTGGAGACTAATCCAGTCTCTTCATCACAGTAAACATGCAGACCAGATCATGTAATTATCCTTCAGTCTTTTCACATTGTTCTGAGGAGAAAGAATAGATGGCAGGGTTGGTGTTGTCCATCCCTGTCTGTCCAGCTGCAGCTCCCGCCACGCTTCTTTGTGATCTGTGTGCTCCAGCCACAGGACTTTCCTGTATAGTGCCGGGCTCTTCCTTCCCCCTTTATCTCTTCACCATGAGTAGGCCACGCCTACTCATTCAGGTGTGGATTCTCTCTGCCCCACTATACATATGGCTACAGCAGTCCTGCAGTCTTGATTATTGGTATATTTCTGGGTAGCACAGGACTCTCACTTCAGTGCAAGCAGATACTGGTCTATTTTTGTTTATTTTATATCTCGAAGGCCTAGAACATTATACTGTGCATTGCATAGTACTGTGTTGAATAATTCGGCGACTGCAGGAAACAGTTACTCAGAAAAAGTGTGCCCAGTATGTTAGGTCATTCTATGTTCTTGAGGGAAAAAGTCTTGCTGTATAAAATCTGCTGTAAAATTCTCTTACACCTTTGGATAGTGGCTGCAGTAGAAGTGTGGTGCTTCTCTGTTTCTCTGATGCTGCAAGCTTTGTTTGCTCTACATCATCCACTTGGCTAGTGTGGTGAGGGCTTTTCAGTCTGCGTTGTTCTGCACTTGAAGTCAGAAGTTGTGGTATAGTATGTAAAGTTTTAATCCTTTTTTAACCTCAGAGAAGTCAGTAGTTACAATTGCTCTGGGTATGAGCAGAATGCATAGGTAGAGTATAGTCGTACCCAGAAAAGCCAAGGAGCAAGAGGATAGAGTAGACTTCTACCTAGAAGAAGGTGTTTGTTTGACTCTCTTGCTCTGTCTTCCCACTTCTCCTTTGCCTGTCGGGGAGATCCTCTGAAAGTCTTGATGCATAGCATCTTAAGAGTCATTACTGAATAGTCAAGTGGCAAAACAAAAAGCTCTGATAGTTTTTAAGGATATGAAAGTTTCCAGAAAAATATAAGAATGTAACTTTGACATTTGTGTGAATACATTACTGGTAATTTACCTCTATAGTTTGTGGTTAAGACCCAAGGCCTTTATGGAACGGTAGTTGGAGAGATGCTTTTTTGATAAAGTCGGGTGTTTTAATCATCTTCTGATGTCTACTGCCAGCAACAGATGACTTGCATGAAATTAATCACTGACTTCCTTGTCTTGATTGCATATGGAAGATTAACAAGACCATTGAGATAAGGAACTACATGATCTACAAAGACTTTTAAAGAATCCAGGGATAAAGAGGAAGAGAAGAGAACGCACATTGTTCTCCCTTTAGTAAAACATCATTCTCTCCAGCTGGTCATGCACTGTGACCTTAAAACTTAGCACGTCATCCTGTTTTCAGCCTCTGAATTGATTTGGAACACAGTGACCTGGAAATTGAAAGTCTATTTACATGGTTCAGAAGAGCTTTGGAATAATTCTTTCTTAGATCTAAGTTTCTCTCTTCATATGCTTACTATCATTTTAATATACAGATTACAGCAGTGAGGTAGTTCTCTTTGTACACAGGTGACTCAGTTTCTCCTAATAGAAGTCTCAATAGATACCATGTCCGGGGAAGTGTCTTACCAGGTGTTTGTATTTGAGGATCTGGCATTTCTATAGTTTTCTGTTCAGCTTACTGTTTATGTTCAGTTTACTGTTTTACATTGGATTTTCCCTAGTACTTCATTATGAAAAGAATTTAAATATGAAAAAGCATTTTATAGTAAACATCATAATACTCCCTGAATGCTGTTACATGTGACTGCATTTGCTTTGCTAGGAATTGTTCTTTATTCATTCCTTATCTTGGTATGATGGATGTAAATATGGTACCATGAACTTGGATATTTCTTATTAATAGTGGGATCATAGGAAATCTGAAGCACAGGGCTGGGAAAATAGCCAAGTTGGCAAACTACTTGCTGTACAAGCAGAAATATCTGAGTTGACATCACCAGAACATATGTAGAAATGTGGACTTGGCCATGTCATGCCAGAGCCCCATTGCTATCAGGGGTGAAAACGGGATAATGTCAGGGTTTTTTCTTCTTTTCTTTTCTGCTCTTTTCTTTTGGCTGCTGGCCTAACTCTAGGTTTTTTGAGAGACTCTGTCTCAGGAGCATAAGGCAGAAAGTGGTGGAGCAGAAATAGGACATCTTCCTCTGGAGTACACACACACACACACCACCTACAGAAATATATATTGTTTTTCAATAACAATAGCCACTAGGCAGAATGCTAAGTATATCACAAATAACATGTTCAGTTATTCAGTCTGAACAGTATTCCATGGGTAGGCAGTTTTATTTCCATTTTATGGGTAGAGAAGTTGATCAGAGGAAATCAGGTAACCTACTCAAGACTGTCCTGTTCCTAAGCAAAAAGCACCTTAACTCAGGCATTCCTGTTAGCAGGCATTTTGTAGCCAGATGTGGCTCTTACCTGCAGTCCCCACACTTGAAGCCCGAGGCAGGAGGATTGACATAAGTTTGAGAAATGGAAATTGTATGCGTCCTTGTTTTATTTTAAACCTGCCGTTGTGCCTTCTCCCATGTTGGTGAGTCTCTGCAGCACACTTGCCTTGCTTGGGTAGTTTGCAGAGTTATTTCTAAGGACTGGGAGCCAGGCAGACTGTGACTCTGTCCTCCTTTCTGAAGGTGGAGAGCCTTTGTCATTTAGTGCTTGACTTGGGTTTAGCTGATACACTAAGGTAATTTTATGCTTATAACATGAACAATAACCATTTATTTGGTTTAGATATTTTTACCTAGCATGCTTTGACTGTTTCTTTTTCTTTTCTCTAAGCTTGAATTATATCCTCATCACTGGCTTCTGGGGGCTGAAGTTTGACACATGAAAGACTAATATAACAGATACCAATTAGAGAATATGGGATTAAATTGAAACCAAAGTTGCCTTGAATGGTTTCTGACCTCTATGTGCTATTGGCTCAGTTTCTTTGAATGCTTTTCTTCCTTTGTCTATTATCTAATCTGTTCAGTTTTCATCCCGTTTACCAGGTCTGTAATTTGCTGGCATGAAGCATCACATCACTTTTACTTTAGTGTGTCTGCTTTAGAGCAATTCCTGAGGCTATGGACATGATTCCAAAAGTGTTTTTATTGGTCGCTGGCATGCCAGTCAAGGGTCCAGCCTTACTGAAAGCTCTCTGGGCATGACTGCTCCTGGTTTACCTGCTGGCTAAGGGTGGGACTCCTTAAACGACTAGAATGGAATGAGAGAGAGTTGCAGATGACTGCTCTTCCACATAGATTAGTATGGGGAGGGCAAAGGGATAAAGAGGGACCAGAAAAGACAGTGCAGGTTCTGTGTCCTGCAGTATGTTTGCCCTTATAGCAGCACAGAAAATTCTAGAGAAGGGCAGGGTGCTCTGATCACAAAAATTTCAAGTCTTAAACTGTTGTTCTTGGTGGTGTTGTGTACATGCAGCCTGCACTACTGTGTTCTCACCTACGTTGTCTAGTCCATCTACTTTGCAAAAGTAAGGCATTGAGTTCTGACATATGTTTTCTTCCGAAGATGCTTTAGTCCACTTGCTGACCTTCTGTGAGTTTCAGTACAGTGATTCTTTTTTTTTTTTTAAAGAAAACAAACTATCTTGCCACCATCTCTGTAAATGATCCCAGTTTCTGCTCACTGCCCTCTCTCATCCCCCCAACACCCTGCACTCCAAGCATCTCTAGAAATTCTACCCTGTCTACACTGGGCCTTCCCTACTCCACACTGTGATGGAGATAGAAATGGTTCTCAAATAACCTTATTTGTGACCCTTCCCCATGTTACCTCTTTATCAAAACTGTTTTTATGGTACTCATCTTAAGCTTACAAAAGGGAAAGCAAATGTCAGTGGCAGAGATAAGCTCTAAGCACCCACCTTTGGACTTGTATCGGGACACCGTGTCCACTTGTGTCATCAGTCACCCACCTGTGGACTTGTATCGGGACACCGTGTCCACTTGTGTCATCAGTCACCCACCTGTGGACTTGTATCGGGACACCGTGTCCATTTGTGTCATCAGTCACCCACCTGTGGACTTGTATCGGGACACCGTGTCCACTTGTGTCATCAGTCACCCACCTGTGGACTTGTATCGAGACACCATGCCCACTTGTGTCTTCAGTCAGTGTCAAGGCATAAGAACACCTGAAACCCAGCATGTAGGAGGTGGAGGCAGGAAGATCAGAGTTCAAAGTCCTTGTCAGCTATGTAGCAAATTCACAGCCAACCTAGGCTACATAAGACCTTGTCTCCAAAAACTTACCTATTGTAAAACTTATGTTAGTAATTTTTGATTCGCTGTTTTAGTATAGACTTTAAATTATGAAGATGGTTATAAAGATAAGCAAGGACTAGAAAAGAAGGAAGAAAAATTCTCTCGTTCCTCATTATATCTGTATTTTAAGTTTTATCTCCTTTCTTCTTCTCAGATGAGAAAAGTTTACACATTGACTCTAAAGGAACTTGTTGAAGTCTAGTTCAGTGGAGTTATGGCCCAGATTTCCAGAGTACACAAACACTCAGTATTGCTTTCAGCATGACACACTTTTTTGAGTTCTCCCCACTCGGGGAAAGAGGGTGTGTTCATCCTAGATGTTAACTGGAAGTGCAGAAATAGCCAGGACATTGGCGATAGTCTGGATAATGGGACGAGTCCAAATGAGAGTTTGCTCACAAGTGAGCCCCACGGCAGGATATTGGCATTCTCAGGATCAGGCCATAGGAATATTTGTAGTTGCCCTGTGTAATGGGTTTACACACCCTTCCCCCAGTTTTGGGGATTAGACACAGTCCCTCATGCATGTTAGACAAGCAGTCTACCACTGAGCTGTGTCCTTAACCCTCTTTTTATGTCTTACCTCGAAACAAACTCTCCCTGCAATACCTAGATGACCTTGAATTCATGCTGTAACCACAATAGTCTGAACTTGTGATCTTTCTTCAGCCTGTGGAGGGCTGACAATGTAGAATGCCACCACCAGGCCTGGCTCTGCCTTGTGTGTATGTGGTTACTTTTGACAGTGTGAGCGTACTCACCTGTGTTGGAACCCGGGAGCCCGGAGAGGGTATCTTCCTCTTTCACTGCTGTGTTGCCTTGAGACAGGGTCTCTTCTGAGCCAGAAGCTGCCATTTCAGTTAAGCTGACTGGCCAGTGAGCTTTGGGGATCCAGCTGTCCCGCCCTGAAGTCCATCAAATGCTGGGACTGTAGACACATGTAACATGCCTGGTTTTTGTGTGGGTGCTGGGAGTTCAGGCTCCACTCCTCATGCTTGCAGAGTCCAGTCTTACACACTGAGCCGTCTCCTTAGAGTGCATACTTTTTAACTTGCAATAATAATATTTTAAGGACATTAATACTTCTTAATAATATTTATACTAACAGTATTCCTTTCTAAGCTTTAAGCACACTAATTTTCTTATTTTTCTCTTTATACAAGATATACAACTATGTATGCAAAGATGTTTAAATGAAATGTCTACAGCCAAAACGAAAAAAAGAATGTTTTCTATTAACCGAAACATAACTTGTACTGTTTATATCACTGCACTTCACCTTTAAGAAAAAAAACTTAAACTTGACCACTTGTTAAAAGTAATTTCATTAAGGATAGTTTTATTATTAAAGATACTTGGTGTTAGGTTTCATTGTCTCAGAGAGTCTTCACGTGATGTAAGCATGTCATTAAGTTACCTGGCACAGCGGAGCACTCCCACTGGCTATTTGATGTTCATTTTTTCTGGGATGTCAACCTTCAAGTCTGCATTTCTGCATGTCTTTCCTTGGATGGATCATTGTAAAGCTCTTTTAGTGCTGCCCAGTGAAAGTCCTTTAACTTGAGACACACTGTGGCACATACTTAGTATAGCATCGTAATTCAGCACATACACAATGTGTAATAATCACATCGGGGGATTGAGCATGTATTTCCATTTCAAACATTTTTAAATGCGTTGTAGTGTTCACAGTTGGTGTGTCTTTGCCATCATGTGCACCTTTTTGCTCTATTTAACGATGAATCCTTTCTGCCTTTTGTTTGCAGTGTCTCAGTTTGAAACTGAATTCTACGTTAGTGGACTCGCACCTCTCTGCGATCAGCTTGTTGTGCTTTCCTACGTAAAGGAGGTTTCAGAAAAAACGGTAATTATCTTCTCCCCACGTACAGAGGGATTTAGAGGAGTTGGCTTTTAGCATCATGCCCAGGTCAGGCTGCCTGTCAGAGGAGATTGCTATAATCCGACCAGAACTTCTTGACCTATGAAATAAGCCTAGGTGAAATTACCCTGCAGACTAACATGTTTACCTGCAGAAGTCACACTCATTGCTGGTCTTTGTTCCCGTTGCTACACAAAGAAGTGAGCCCTTTTTCTCTTTGCTTTTTTTGCTCTTTCTTTCTCATCAGTCACTTGATATTCTAGTTGAAAGAAAGGAAGGATTTCTCATTCTGAAAGGTGACAAAGCTAAGCTGACATTGCATTAGCAGAGATGACAGCAATGAAGCCGGTCACTGCAGCACCAGGGATCCCAGTGGTCAGAGGGAGTTATTGAAAGAGTTGCTCCTTCTTTCCTGGAGTACAGACATATTTGTTTACCTCCCAGTGGCCTTGTGTTTCTAAGTAGCTCGATTCCTGCTTTGAAAGGGATTGTTGCTCATTCACTTGATGGTGCAGATTATAGACACTGAAATGTATTGCAAACAGAAAGCAGCAGATAAACCCAAATTTTGTTTCCATGATGTTGGGATGAAGGTCTCAGCTGGGATTTAATGACCCCCAGGCTCCCTCTAAAATCCAGAGCAGTGCCATTCCTAGTTTACCTATTGTTAGAGTTCAGGGCCCTGCCTGGAACAGGAGAAGGTAGCTTCAAGGCCTGAGTAAGGAGAGCTTGTTGAAAAGGATTTCCTTTTGGGTGCTGTATATAAAAGAAATTGCAATTGATTCTCTAGCCCTTCACAGTAAGCAGGCAGGTGAAGTGTACTCTCCCCGCTTGTATCCCCCTCCTTCTTTCTCTCTCTCTCTTTCTCAAATGATAAGGAATAAAATGGGGGAGAAAAGCCCAGGGAGCCCTTGTTGTGAAGTGGTGGCTGCACTTGAGCCTTTATCTGAGAGAACACTTGCATTAGGAAGCCATCACTATAGTAACTGGTGCTCTGGGTGCCCATGTTGCTAGGCAATGAAATGCTGTAGACTTAAGTGAACCCTCAAACCTCCTAAAATCAATAGGGTTGGCTTCTAGCCCTATTGCAGGACATCAGTTTATTATTATTTTATTTATTTTTTGAAAATACAGAAAAGCAGAGGCTCCTGGGGGAGTAAGAACAGTGCTTTTGATGAGGAGTGTGGGGCAGATTGAGGATGTGATTGAACAAAACAAGGGAAGAAGCAATAAAATTGGAAAAGGGAAAGGCTAATAAACTGATCAGAAAAAGTAAAAGGGGAAAAGGAAAAGGGAAGCCTGTGTTACTAAAGAGTACAGGAAAGGAGAAAACCAAAGGAAGGTCACCCTCACAGGGCTGATCAGAAGAGATGGTTTTTCAGAGGAAGAATTAAGAGCTTAGGAGACTACAGTGGATGGAGACTCACTTTATTTAACATCAGTGTGTGCTTTCAATTCTTAAATGCAGAGTTAACTGAATAAAGTTAGGACAAAAGAATGACAGTCAGCTTTGGGTACACCATTACCCAATTTCTATTTTCATATTGAAAATCTTTTTCTATAAGGTTTTTATTGGCTATTTCCAATGGCTTTTCATTAATACTCTCAAGTGTTTCCCATGTGCCGCCTTTCGACTCACTTAATTTTAATCTTAATGTTTTAACCATCAGTCTGTGTAATTGAGAATAATAATATGTGATCACCCTTCCATTTTTCATTTGAGAAGCCAGTGAGTGATCTGTGTATCATCACCCTGGGTTCAGAAAAATGTCAGCTCATCTTTCGCTCGATCATAAACTAGAGCTTCTCTTTCAGAAACTGCAGTCTCTGGCTGTTTATGCTGTTTAAATGCAAGCTAATTATAGTCAAGTAAAATTAAGAATTTAGTTCCCTGGTCACATTAGCACATTGCCTGTGTTCAGCAGCCATCTATGGCGAAGGTCTTCTATACATGGCGATGTGAGCGTAGGCGACTCCACTGGCTCACAGCATGGTTCAGAGATGGATTCTAGTCTATGGCCTCTTGGTACTACTATTAGTTTCCTCATATTAGCAGTGATTTGGAACATGAAGTCGTTTGTAATACTCCTCATTCATATTCGTGTAGACATGGAGCTGTGTTTGTTGGTGTCAGGCCATAGATTCATTACTTTTCTCACTGCTGTGATGAAATACCAGGTGAAAGCAACTTAAGGAAGGAGGGGTTTGTTTTGTCTCATGATTTGACAGTATGGCTTGTTTGGTGGGGGACTCCTGGCGGCAGCTGTTCACCTCACATCCAAAGTCCTGAAGCAGAGAGAGATAATACTGATGCCTGGCTTGTGTTGTTTTAGTCCAGGACCCAGAACATGAGATGGTGCAGCTCACACTGGGAGTGGGGAATTCTTCCTTACTCAGTTTAAGTCTTTTGGACACATCATCTCACAGACAGACACACACACACACACACGCACGCACGCACGCACGCACACACGCACACACACACATACACACCCAGAAATGTGCTTCTGTAGTGATTCTAGATGCTGTCAAGCAATGAGAATGCTCATTGGCCTCACTGCTTTAGGATTAGATTCTGTGATTGTGCTGTTCATAAATGTCATAATTCTGTATATTTCACAAAAAATTTACAAAGTAAGACAGGATTAGGTGATTGTTCATGGCAAGCATTTAGAAGGATTTGTTTGTACTGAAATGCTAAACTCAAATTGAGTCCGAATAGTTTGTTCGTTTGTGTAAACTATGGTAACCAGGAAAATGAGCCTTCTCTATCATTTTCCCCCTAGGAAAGAGAATACTGTGCCCGGCCTAGACTGGACATCATCCAGCCGCTTCCCGAGACGTGCGAAGAGATCTCATCAGATGCTCTGACGGTCAGGGGCTTTCAGGAGAATGAATGTAGGGATTATCACTTAGGTGAGCCAGCAGAAATCTGCTTGTGCTTTCTTCTACTGCTTTTGTTGTCCTTCTATTCAGCTCACCAAAGGGGAATTTAAATGTAGGTACTAACAGAGAATAGCTGAGCTGGCCTCTGCCAGTAAAAGCTGGAGTTCTAGACTCAGAAATACTGCAACCTTGCCTGAATGTGCATAGGAAAAAGAAATGTTAGGCATGGGATTGGAACCAAGGAGAGAAGAGGGTTCTTTTTCTGTTGTTCTCTCAAGCCAGCTTGTCTGCTACCTATGTTTTCTGTGGTGCGAATCAAACCCTTCACTTTAAAGATGCTAGGGAAGCCCTTTGTCACCCAACACATCCCAGCCCTGTTCTAATTAAGTGACAGTTAGCTTTGATATCAGGCAGTATGATTCTGTAGTTGTCCTCCCGGTCCAAATGTGATGTTCCTGAAAGGTCTGCTGCGGGTGGCAGCGAAGTCCTTGTATTTGAGTCTAAGTCCTGAGCATGGAAAGATTCCCACGCCGTCACTGGGCCTGGACTTAATTGCGGAGTGGGTGGGTGGGTGTAGGTGAGTACACTAATCCCTCCCTGCTCAGGAGCAGAAGGAAGCTGTGGCTCTTTCATCCTGCCTGGGGTGTGTGTCATCACAGCCTGGTAGAGTGCGGGAAGAAAAGGAGGTGCTCAGCTCTTTGGAAGCCCTTTCCTGCTCTCTCAACCGACGCCTCAGGAAAACAGTTTACTCCTCAGTCATATGAAGAAGCAGCGCACAAGTGTGCATGCGTCTGACTCTTTTATGAACCCTCTTAGTAGTTAGGAACTGGAAGACTATATTTTGGACTTTGCAAAAAATTATTATGATTCAGAAATGAAAGCATACATTTTGGGTATTTTGCTCAGAGCAAACTCAGCCGTATGCTTAGAAACCCTTTAGAGCAGGTTTTATAATGGAATTCTTCTTGAAACACTCGGGTTTGCCATCGTAGGCAACATGCTAAAATGATAGACTATGTCCCCAGGGCTTGGGCACCTGCTGTTTACTCATTAGATGGCCTTGACTCTAGTGAAGAGGAAACATTTGTCGTCAACTTACAGAACTGTTGTTCTGTAAGAATAGATCTGTAAGTGTCCATAAATACAGTTTATACATGGCCAGTTGGGGTTCTGTTTGTTCATCTGAAGTCAGAATGTTAATGTGTTAAACTTGGAGTTCTAAACTTAACTTCTTTGTGTCTGCTGGTTTTCTTATAGTCTTTTCTTCTTGCTTTTTCTCATTCCTTCCTCCTGAACAGTTTTACACTGTGGTGCAGTTAAGAGCAGTACATGCTGCCGTTCTCACCTTCCTTGACATTCTAGAGCATCAAGCACACTTGACTGTACAGGGAGAAAATTGACTTTTGATTCTGAAATCATAAGCTAATTGCCACTTTGTAATATCGATTCAACCAAGCTGTCCTCTCTCTCCTCCCTTCTAGAATACTCTGAAGGGGAATCACTCTTCTACATCGTGAGTCCAAGAGATGTCGTTGTAGCCAAGGAGCGAGACCAGGATGATCATATCGACTGGCTCCTGGAGAAGAAGAAATATGAAGTAGTTTTGATTTTACTTTCTTGAAAGTATTGACTTGTCTGAACATAGAAAAGAGAAAAGGATTTTTATAGTAAATCTTTCATATTGAGTTAGTGTGTCTCAAGCCCCAAATATGTTACAATCTCTCTCTGAGAAATCACAGAACAAAAGCACGCAGTTCTGTTGGCCTGCTTTTCTGTTAAGGGGTTGGCTGGGGAAGCATGATTGATTCAGAAGGGGAGTAAACAGAGTAATGTACTGAAGCTGTTGTGGTTGTTTTCCTAAAGTAACTAAAGTAGAATAAGTTTTTGGAGCTTTTTTTCTCTTTGGATATGTTCGTAAAATTGCTCATTCTATCCTTATTTTGGGTATAAGGGAAAGATACCAGATTTATTCTAAGAATGGTTTGAACTAATTTGGGTAGAATGATGCTGTCTACTTCACTGGGCCATGGTTTTGACAAGTTTAAGTAGATGATGTACCAACATGACTGACTTTAGGATTAAAACAACATTCTTTACAACTGTAGTAGCTGCCAAGATAGTTTGTTCCTTAGAATGATGCTGGGCTTTCGTGTGCTCATCAGCAGAAAACAACAGTGTCTATTTTATGTGGAAGAGCTGTTGTTATATAGTAATACCTAGTATATACTCTAGCTGTTACCCTATTACATTAGCTTAAGTAATATTTTAGTGTTTCTTAAATTTGTTTACTTCTTTATTTGTATAGGTGTGTTTATCTGTATGAATGTATGTACATGTTTGTATGGGTGTTGGGATCTGAACTCTGCTTTTTATGATTTTAAAGGACTCTTAACTCCTGAATCATCTCTCCAGCCCCTAGATTAAGTAACATTTCTGTGAACTTAGTTTATGTGTTAAATATTTGTGTTAAGCTAATACTGGTAAATGTTCTGAAAGAAAAACACAATGTGGTTTCCATAAGCTTAACTGTAGACGTGAAGGCATACATAAGTTGTTTGCCTTTATTGAAATATAAATGAAAGTGCCCTTTGTCAGTCTGGGTCATACAGTTTTAGAATGACAGCTATCCTTTTTTTTTGCTTGAAGTCTAAGAAATTTTGTTACTTTGATTTGTGTATGAGATGTGATTCCAGCATCTTAGTGTGGGAATGAATTCAAGTAAAAATGAAGAGTCTTCATTTTGCTTGAATATCTTTATTTTGAATTCAGTGAAGTTCATTCAGCCATAACATTAAAAATTCCAGTGCCTTAAGCAAAAACCACAGGAAAATGGGGTTTTATTTGAGTAGTTCAAAAGTTAAAACATAATACACAGTTTATAACTGCACTTGCTTTCTCTCCCACTCACTCCATTTTCTCCCCCTTTTCTTTTTTAAATGGCCCTTATCATGATGCTTGTGTAAACATAGGAAGCTTTGATGGCAGCTGAAATTAGCCAAAGGAACATTAAAAGACATAAGATTCTGGTAAGTGCAGCATCATTACTTAGAATCTAACTGTTCTTACTATTAAGGAAACTGAGTGATTTGAAAAGAACAAGAACAGGTTCTTCGTATCTGTTCATAATTTGTTTTGAAATAATTCTTTTACCTGGGAGGGCATTCAATTGAGTCAGTTTTTGCTTGTAAACAAGAGACTTGGACACCTGCTAGGATGTAGCTTTAGGAAATTTTGAAACTGCATTTGGGCAATGTGCTTTGAATACAAAGCTCTGCAGTTGAATGTGTGGAAGCCTCTTTAAACCAGGTGTAAAATCACATTATCACAAAATGTATCAAGACTGGTCTCTTCAAACTAAATTGCTTTGGTGTGGCCTTGATAACAAATTCAATTGCTTTTGTTATGGAGACTATTCTAGGAAATCAAATACATTTTTATTACATTTTGGACTTTGGAAAAATACAGTGGCTAGAAACCTAGTTCTCTGCTAAATGTGACAGTGAATTTTGTGGGCAGAGACCTGACATAAAGTCATATCCTCTACATATGAAGAGTGCTGTCCTTACATAACATTGAGTCTATTACCCTTGTTTACAAATGAATAGTAGAAATTTAGCCTTTTATGGCTAGTTGGGTTTCAGCACAAATTTCTTATATTATTTTGTTCATCCCAAAATTTTCTGTAAAACTATATATACACAAGCCATTAATTCCTAAAGAATGTATAAGAAAAACAATAAACAAATAAAGGGAAGAAAAAAGAAAGCTAGAGGTCTTTTAGGCATGGTTGAGGAGAATAGTAATTCTTAGAACTGAAGAAAGCCCTACAGCGTTTAGTGAGGTGTATTGAAGGTGCAGAGACCAAAGGAGTAGGACAGTTGAATAAGGTTACTACATAGGTAGTTTTTTTTTTAAATTACTTTATAGATAAAACTAGATTTGATTTTGAAGTGACATATGTACTGAAAACTTGCTTCTGTTTTTGGAACATGCAGAACACAATTTAAGGCCATGTTCCTAACCACGAGGCTAGTCTAACCATGTCAGGCTAATGGAGAGAGGATCCGAGGGAGGCCAGCTGGCATGAGGTTCATGTGGTTTGTGTAGAAGATGAGGCCTGCCCAGAGCTGTGTAAACAGAGTCATACTGGTGGAGTCAAAATTAGTAAAGTACTGTTAGGAGCAAACACACCAGTCTTCCTGAGTTTGGAGAAAGCCACCCATAGCAGTGTTGGAGAACAGAGGATCTGCAGTGCAGTCATCTAAGGAATGATGCATACAAGACAGGCTGAGGAGCAGCAGCAGAGCCCCAGAGGGAAGTGTGTTCAGAAGAAAGGAAAGAAATGTTGTCGCAGACTAAGCAGCTGGTGATAATACCCTGGGTTTGGTAACATAAAATAGTTTTGTTTATTTTACTTATTCTCATTGTGGCATAGGGAGTGAAAGTGAGCAGGCAGTGTTACTCCTTACAAGACATGCAGCGGTAATGCTGGTGTCCAGGAGGAAGTGTTGTATACTCAGTGGTAGAAACTAGCACCCAAGTTTTCTGTATAGTAAACGTAAGCTCCCGGTGAAGTGAGAGCCATGTGGAGGGTGAGAGCTGCCCTCTTATCCCATGGACACACGACCAAGGTGGAATGTGTGGATGCGCTCACCCGCACAGCTTCCTTCTCTCCATCCCCTCGAGCTGCATGTTGGCTTCCTTGCCCTTCTGAGCTCATTTTCACTGTTCGTGTTAAGCTGACATCTTCTTTTTCCCTTTAGTATGATATTTTTCCAGTTAAGCCAATTTTATTGCTTTATTTCATTTTTTTATTGAGAAAATATTTTTACTCATATAATATATTGTGGTTATGGTTCCTGTCCTTATACTCCTCCCAGCTCCTCCTCTTTTCTCCTCCCATCCAGATCCACCCCCTTTCCGTCTCTTGTTAGAAAAAAAAAACAGGCATTTAAGAGATAATAATAAAATATAATATAATATAATATAAAAAGATAAAATAATAACAAACAAATAGGACAAAACAAACAGAAGGAAAAGAACACAAGAAAACACATGAGAAATGGATATTGATACAGAGACCCATTCATACACACACTCAGGAATCCCGTTAAACCACAAAGCTGGAAGCCATAATACATGCACAAAGGACCTAAAGCAAAAAAATGAAAGGGAATTAAGAAAAAGCCCTGACAGGATTCTGTGAGGAAAGGAACCCCCAACGATGCCACCAAGTTTGTTTCCTGTTGCCCATCTGCTGCTGGCATGCCGCCTACCCATGAGAGGAGTTAACAAACTCCTCTTTTTTGTTCTCCCTGGAGAGAACCAAATTTTGTTTGTAAGTGGTCATCAATTGGAGATCTTTTCTGGATTAGATATGGGGGCATGTGTCTGCTTCTCCTTTCAGCTCTAGGACCCCATCTGGTACAGACCCTGGCAGTTCCTGTGCGTTCTGCATCAGTCTCTGAGTTCATAAGAGGGTCAGTCCTCCTGTGTTTAGAAGGCCTTGTTTCCAAGATGCCTTCTATTCCTGCTGACTCTTACACTCCTTTTCCCTCCTCTTCTGCACGGTTTCTCTAGCCCTGAGGAGAGGGATTTGATGCAGGTATTATTCCAAGTAGGGCTGAGTGCTCCAAGGTTCCACTCTCTGCATATTGTCGGGCTGTGGGTCTCTGTATTTGTTTTCATCTGCTGCAGGAGAAAGCTTCTCTGGTGATGGTTGAACGAGTAAGGCACTGATTTATGAGTGTAACAGCATGTCATAGGGATAATTTTGTTGCTACATTCTTGTAATTTACATTGCTTTTACCTATATCCCTGGATTATCTAGTCTTAGGCTCTTGGTCACTTGAGTAACATCAGGTATGGTTCCATCGCATAGAGTGGACCTAAATTCAAATCAGATGTGGCTTGTTTACTCTCGTTAGCTTTGTGCCATCGCTATACTATCACATCTTGCAGGCAGGACACCATTGTAGATTGAAGGGTTTGCAGTTGGGTTGAGTGTAACATTTCTCCTTTGGTAGTATGCAGAGTACCTTCCGGTACCAAGAACACTAGCCAGTAGGGATAAAGGCTCTAGGTAGGTAACTGCTCCACGTCTCCATGTTCGGTGAGTTGTGTAGGTATCGTCTTCAGCCAGTTTGTGGAGAGCAGCGTATAGCCTTGGCAACAGTCTGGGTTATTTGGGGTTCCCATGACATTCTTTTGGCCAACGACTCTATTAGGTATACCCCGTTCCTGGTACTGGAAACTTCATTTGGTAATGAGAGATGTTCAGTTGGGGCTCTGTCTCCCTATTATTGGAAATTTCTTTATATCACCTTCATATACGTATGTATTAGGAAGCTTCTACTATATTAGGTTTCCACACTACCCCTCAAATGCCCTTGAGTTTTAGCTGTCTGTATCCATATCCCCTGCCACTCCAGTACTCTTGAATGTCTTTAGACTTCTCTGGAAGAGATCACATTTAACAGAAGACATCAGAAAAACAAACCTTTATACGGAGTGACAATTTAGGCTATTTCTAGGATCAGAGACTTCCTCTGCAGAGCATGTCTGAGTGGGATAGGTTAGAAGATTTTTTACATGGAAACAAGGTTCAATTTTTAAAACTTTGATTATTAAAATTTATATAAAAATAAATGCATTAAGTCTAAATGAGCTAAAGTGTAATATCACCAAAGCTATGACACAGATACAGACAGGCTTGGGCCGGGGTTCTCAGAGGAACCCCAAGTCCTGTCTGCTCAGAAACTGACACGCAGCTCTTCAGTTGTTCCGGTTGCATTATTAATTTCCTTCATTTGCCTTTCTATAGGATATTGGGTTGGCATATGTAAACCACCTGATGGAGAGAGGGGACTACGACATGGCTGCACGGTAATAACAACGGCATCCTCACAGCTATTCATGGCCGATGGTAACAACAAATAGAAGTGATTCTTTCCAACTGACTTTTTTATATCTTTCTAGGAAGGTATGAAAAGGTCTGGTGTGAGACACGAGCCATCAGCACAGAATTAAAGGACTGTCCAAATTAGCAGGAGTGTTAGTGTCAGCCCGTACTGCATGACTCCAGTCCCATTTCCTGTAGCACAGCACATGGTGGGCAGGCAGACTCCCTGGTGGCCTGTCTGCCTTAGAATGACTTCTCCGTTTCTCTGTATAGAGTGGGCAAACTTGCCCACAGCTCTCACTTTGTGTGCCCTCCAGTTTCTAGGGCCAGTTGTGATACACATGCCTTTGGAAGAAATCTAGAACAAAGTACAGCTGCGTATAGTTCAAGGACAGTGGCTCCTCGCAAAAGTGTGGTTGCTAAGTGGAAACAATAAAGCCTGTGAGGCCACCATTAGACCTGCCTTGAATGCCCTGAGACTGGGACTCTGGCTGTGAATTATGTGGGAGGCTGGGAATCTGATTTTCTACAGTCTGCTTTTTCACCTCGTTTTTAAAGCTGACCTGGAAGTTGTTGGCATTTGTGTTATAGTGAGGTTTCCTATAGAAAGTCCAAAGCAGCAGTGCTTTCAATACACATCAAGTCGGGGGAACCCCTAGTCTTCTGAAAGAGACCTATCTTTTCCTGTGGTATTTTATATAGTTTTCATGATTGTCATGAACTCCATGAACAGTCAGAGGAGTGCTGGTGACACTTTCATGTTTGTTGACAATAGAGGTAGAACCCCATCAAAGCTCTGGGAAGATTTACCTAAACCCCTGGGGAAATGTCTACTTAATCTCTTTATTTTTATTTACATTTTATTTCTCCCTGGATTGTTTTTGCTGCCAGAAAATGCCAGAAAATTCTTGGGAAAAATGCAGCCCTCTGGGAATATGAAGTGTACAAATTTAAAGAAATTGGACAGCTTAAAGTAAGCTATTTTATCTTAACCCTTAATTTTTGCATTGTAGTTTATTAAATGGGAATAAGCTTGAGACAGAGCAGTTGTTGGCTGAAAGAAGAAGTAAAGCTTATGTTTAGTTTATGTCAAATGGTTACATCTCTGCCTTGTTACCTGTGCGGGTCAGGTGCTCTGTTTAGGCATCTTCATCTTCCTTTTAGTGACTTGGGAACAATCATAATTTTAATGGATTTTACAGCATAGCATTTTAAAAATATACTCAAGGATTAATGTATTCTTCATTTTTATCTTTCCTTTTGTTGTGTTCCTCTGGAACCAAGGGCTTCAAAAATGTTAGGCAAGTGCTGTGCCACAGAGCTCATCCTCGGTGCTTGGATAATCTGCAGGAAGACAGATGAAACACTTGTCTGTAGCTCTGATGAGAAATTTTGTCATTTTATTACAATCTTTTCATCTGGGCACAACAGATATACCAGTCAGTCATTTTTATATTCCTTTAAAGGGTTTTTAAATTTTCATCATCTGTTAGCTTTTTGACTACTCTGTTGAAATTAAGAATATCCTGTTAAAATTTATTATTGTTTAAAGTTACCTTATGGAGAAGTGGGCTTCAATGTGGCATTGTCATACATTTGTGACAAGCTTGTTTCATAAGATGATTGAATTTTTAAGGTATTAATTAATGTATTACATTCAATATAAGAAAAGTTAAAAGAAATATAAAATAGCAACTATTCTCCTGATTATTTATATTTTCAGTAATTAAACAAGAATAAAAGAATAAAGGTTAATGAAGTCACTTTTGTACTTCTGTTACACACACACAAGTACACACACACTTTTGTAGCTTCCTGCTAGGTAACAGTTTATTTGAATCTTTTCTGAATGTCCCAGCGTGTCCTGATACTTTACATTTTTAAGGTTATAACTATACTTTTATGTGGTCTGCATGTTTAGGATGCGGTTGTTGTACCATTCCTAAAAGGACTCTCTGCTTCATCCCTAGGCAATTAGTCCATATTTACCAAGAGGGGACCCAGTCCTGAAACCACTCATCTATGAAATGATCTTGCATGAATTTTTGGAAAGTGATTATGAGGTAAGGAATGCATGCACGATCATTGATAGTCCTCTCTGTGTGTTACAAATCTAGAAATTTGACTTTTTTGTCCTTTTACGTTGGTGTCATAAGGGTTTGATATAAACATGATTTAAATTATGTCATCAAAATTATTCTACCAGTTCCTGTCCTGTCTAGAAAACATCTCACTATGGCTCAGGGAAATCAACCTGCTTTGACTCTTGGACCTGGAGAGTTTTTCCAGCATTATTGTCATGTCTGCCTCATTAATACTTTTGAAAAAATTAGAATAATTTTATTGTCATTAAACTATATAAATCATTTAAATATTACTTTCATTTTTCTCATCTTTAGGTTTAATTTTAAGTGCTCATGTAATGAATCAAACAGCAGTGTTCCATAGGAACTGTTTGCCAAAATTATTCCTTGAAAAATTCTGTGCTGCTAATAGAGTAGGTTGCTAAAAACAAAAACAAATGAAAAACCCTAAGCCTAGTACTGTACATGTGTAATCGGTTACTCGGAAAGCTGAGGCAGGAGATTGTGAGTTTGGGTAACATAATGAGACACATCCGCATCTGTCCTCAGGGCCGGGGAAACCACTTGTCTGGAGTGTCAGCTTTGCAGCTTTCTTTTCTTCCTTTTTACCAGTCAGGAAGCTGTCTAAACCTTGGCATGTTTATTGGCATTTATGGAAACTTCATTGCATAGGCATGATGGCTAATAGAGAGGTAGGAAAAGCCAGAGGTGGCTTAGCATTCCTTCCTCATAGACAGGGGACTGGACCCCTCTGAAGGAGCTCTTGTGACTCACTAAGTTTCTGTGCTCTGCACTGGGGAAAGAGCAAGAGACTGTGGGTTCAAACCCAAATGCAATCATCACAGTATCACACTATGCAGTGTCTTTCTGCTGTTCTCTTTTGGTTAGGGCTTTGCCACGTTGATCAGAGAGTGGCCTGGAGATCTGTATAACAATTCCGTGATAGTTCAAGCAGTTCGAGACCACCTGAAGAAGGACAGTCAGAACAAGATTTTATTAAAAACACTGGCAGAATTGTGAGTATGTTTTGGTTCTTGCAGTCACAGAATGGGGAGGGTGCCTTTTCATTTTCCTATATCACTCTTTATTGGACACCTCTAAGTCTCAAGTGAGTAACTAGAACATGAATGTGTAAAGCCATATTATAATGTGATTTTCCAGAGTAGTGGAGTGGTGTGGGCCCTGGTGAGGAGATAGAAGGGTACAAGAGTCCCTCAGGCTCTCGTGAGCCAGGCTCTGGATTCTGTTATTCCTCAGTCTGCAAGCCTGTGCTCTTTCTGAATGACAGTCCATCTGTGCAATTACAGCCCACACTTTGTTATAGGAATACATTCAAACTTGAAAGTTGGGCTCAACAAGAAAAGTATGATGAATATTTCCCTTATTGGGCATTTCCATCTGACTTTCTGCCATGTCTGAGGCAAAGAGATAAGCTAGACTCTCACAAAGCCTCAGTGTAGAGCACCGAATGGTATACCATAGGCAATCCAAGAAGGAAGGCCTGTTGCACCCCTTCCTCAGCACCCATAAACCCTAGATTTCCCTTGCTCGTCTTTGTCAAAGTCTGACAAAAGGACCCATGATGGCCTGGACATCAGGACCACATAGACTTGGCCCAGATGAAGTCATGATTGTGACATTCTAAGTTAGAGCACTCATTGTTTTCTATCAGAAGCATTTTCCTAGATTTCCCTTGGAATTTGTAGCACTGCTTCTAGTGAACAGCAGGATGCTTTCTGTCCAACTGGCTTCCCTAAGCTGGATGAAAGACGTAGTGTGAAACATTGTTTCAATGGAAAGATGAGTCTCAGCTCCATACAACCCCCTGCAGATGAGCTGGAATATATCTTATTTGTCGGCTGAACACGGTTTATAAGAATTCAGACTGATTTTTCTTCTACTTAAGAAGAATATCTCCTTCATTCTGGACCATAAGTTCACTGTTTGGAATATAGATTTCTAGAAAACCTTTAAGGCCGAGCTTAGAAGAGGGGGCATTTATTACTTGGGTATTTTTGCAGATTTGATGAGAGAAAAGGCAAGGTTCTGAGAAAGAGTACATAGGAGCCAGGTGTTTTTAAATCTTAGCCAATACTTCCGATAGTAAAGTTAAATCTTTTCTTTGAACAACCATTTCAGTCATTAATATTATGAAACATAATCTCTGCATTTTAATTATAACTGTTAATGAATATTATTTTTTTATTGCCAGGTACACCTATGACAAAAATTATGGAAATGCTCTGGAAATATACTTAACGTTAAGACATAAAGATGTTTTCCAGCTGATACACAAGCATAATCTTTTCAGCTCCATCAAAGATAAAATAGTTTTGTTAATGGATTTTGATTCAGAGGTAATGTGTTTCTTATTTCTGCATATTAACTACTAACTATTCAAAGGTTTCATCAGTGGCTACTTGTCCAAATGAATCATATTCTTGACCATATACTGGTCATGCTAAGAACCCTCTGACTCATAATGCATGTTATTTTAGTAGTTGCCTTTCTGAAAGCGACTTCCCACCAAACCTGGCAAACCAACTCTGAGCTCTGGGGACCACATGGTAGAAGGAGAGGATCAAGTCCTGAAAGTTATCCTCTGACCTAGACACATCTGCATGCCTGACCACATACCCTTGGAAACAAAACTAAGTAATAAAAATTTTTTTGAAGAGAAAAGCTAGAATGTCGGATTAAAACAGTACCTATCTATTTCTTGTCTATAAAAAAGTATACCTTAGGTGCAAAGACAAATCAAGCCTTAGGGTGAAAGGATAGAAAAAGGTATTCCCAGCAAATGGAATGTAGAAAACAGGTAGGTGGCGCTATTCTAATGTCTAACAAAGTGAACTTCAAACAAAAATTTAGAAGAAATAAAACTGCTTCATATTCAGGAAAGTCCATCAGGAGGATCTAACAGTTTTGACCATTTGTGTACTGAGCATTGCTTTATGAAACAGTAGAACACAGAGGTACAGTTTGACAGGCACGATAGCAGTGGGTGACTTCCGTGTATCACATTTGTGAATAAACAGTTCATCTTGACAAAATATTTGAAACTGAGGCAAGGGATAAGTGACATAGAGAAAGGGACTTCCCAGAAATCTATAGAATTTCCACTCCTGTTCTATGGAATAACATTCTCAGCACTTGTGGAACTTTCTAGATCAACCACATTTTATTGCATAAGCAAGTCTTAACAGATTCAAGGAAATCAAAACAACTTATTCTGTCTGATCATAGTGGAATAAAACTAGATATCAATAAAAATTACAGAAACTATGCAACCTTGTGAATATTAAAGAACACATTATTGAGTAATGTGTAGAGTACCACAGAGATCAGGAGCGAAAATGAATGCCCTAGAATCAAATGAAAATGAAAACACAGATATCAGTTCAAGGGAAATACAATGAAAATAGTTCTAAGAGGGAAATGTGTATGAATAGGAACTTATATTAAAGACACCAGAGATCTCAAGTAAATAACTTAATGATTCATTCCAGGGTCCTAGAAAAATAAGTACAAGCCAAACTCCAAATTAGTAGATGGAAAAAATAGTAAAGACTACAGGAGAATGCCACTGGAGACGGGTTAGTGGTTAGGAATATTCACTGCCCTTGAGAGGGTCCATGTTTATTTTCCCAAACCCACATGGAAGTTCACAACTATCTCTAACTCCACTTCAGGGGATCAGTGCCCTCTTCTTAACTCCATGGGTACCATGCACATAAGTGATGTAATACATTGATGCAGGCAAAACATTCATATGCACAAAATTTTAAAATACTTTAAAATCATGGAAAAATATATAAAATTGAAATGAAAAAAATCAGAAAAAATAATTATGAAACAAGACTTTAGTTCTCTAAAAAGATAAACATTGGCAAACGATAGCCAAACTAACAAAAAATAATTTCTAGACACGTACCTACCAAAGTTAAACCATAAGGATGTGAACAGATTAAACAGAGACGTACCAAAGAACATGGAATGGTTGAAGAAATAAAACATCTCCCAGCTATAAAAGACTAGGCTGAGATGAATTCATTGTTGAATTCATCAGGGGCTCCTCAGACTGTTCTATAAAGCAGAAAGTGAAGGAACTCTGCTCACCTCTTTCTATGAAGCCCCCATTTCCCTGATACAATAACAAGGTAAAGATACACTTAGACACAAAAGACAGTGCAGGTTAGTCTCTCTTTGATGTATGTAAATACCAAAGATCTCAGGATAATACTTTCCAATTGAATTCAGCACAAGAGAAAAATCTTTCACCAGAACCAGGTTAACTTCTTTCCTGGAATACAAGAATGGTTCAATAAATGTAACACATTATATGTCAACAGACCCTAAGACAGAAAGCACAGCCTTACCAGAGTAGGTGGAGAAAATTACCCCAGAAAGGCATCTGAAAAAGCTCAGCATTCACTCATAATCAAACAAAAATAGAAGTAAAAGAAATATACCTTACCACAATAAAGACTAGATACAACAGACGTATAACAAACATATTTGCAGGGAAATACATGGAACTAGAGATCGTGTTAAGCAAAATAAGACCCAGAAAGGTGAATCATGTTTTCTTTTGTGTGAATCTTAGATTTTATACAGATATATGGTCATGAAAGTAGAAATAAAACTGAGAGCATCTAGCGTAGAGGCACACACTTAAAGTGTACACCTTTAATCCCAGCACTGGAAGGCAGAGGCTGGAGGGATGTCTGAGTTGGAGGCCAGCCTGGTCTACGTATCAAATTCAAGGCCTGCTAGGGCTATATAATGAGACTCTGTCTCCAAAACCTAGGAGAAAGGAAGGGAGAGAAGGAAGGAGGAAGCAAGGAAAACTGAGGGAACTGAGAGACTAAGAACAGAAGAAGCTGAAAGAGAGTATGGGGAGGCGGATGCGATCCAAGTTTGTGGAATACTTGTCTGGACATCTTCATGAAACCCAATTACTCTGCACAGTGGATGTGCACTAATCAAAAAGATGAGATGCTTATATAAAAACTAATAACAGAGTGAGTACTCAGCCAGTAAAGGCACCTGTCACCAAGCCTGAAGACCGAGTTTAATCCCTAGGAGGGAACCTACTCCCCCAAGTTGTCCTCTGGCCACACGTGCTCTGAGGCATGAATGCATGTACATGCACACACACGTGTAATTTAGAAGACTTAATTACATTCCCTTTCCATTTTCTTCTGTGTTTCAAAGCTTAATTAGCATATGCACCAGTGGGAAAGAAATAGCTGAAACTGTTGCTATTGAAGGAATTTGAGCTAAGGTTAGGGTATCATAGTTTTCTAGTTAGAAAAGATCTTTGTAATAATTGAACACCCTTATGTTTATATAACAAAAATAACATTTGGAACAGACATCAGGGTGGTAGCAAAGTCAGCCAGACAGTTATTCTATTTGGTTGGCTGTCAGCCTTCTACCTCTTGTCATGAACTAATTAGTGTTTTATGACTGCTATAGATGGTATAGAAAACTGGAGTCCACGAGTTTTGTATATTTGGAGATTTCAGGTGTTTCCTTTGTTTCCCTTTGGTTAACCTGTTCTCGGAAGGCCAGCTCTTACTCACTTCTGTGACTGTGGTAATGTGATATTCTCCAGAGCTACTCAGGATGACATGACAATTTGTAAACAGCTCAGATGAGACATCAAGGGGCTAGAACATGTTGCCTATTTTGAATATAGTAGGAACTTTTGCATTTGGTAAAAATAGAGCAGTGCAGCGGTTTAACAGTATACAAAACACACAGACTTCAGGTTGACACACGTTTGAAGTTGTATTCCTCAGCAAATGGCATTTTGAATAAGGATTATTTATGAAGCTGTAGCTAATCTTTCTCTGTCCCACCAGCCAGCTCCCAAATAACCACACAGAGACTTGTTATTAGTTATGAAAGCTTGGTCAGTACCTTAGGTTCATCCCACTAATTCTTATTTCTATCTTAAATTAACCCATTTCTATTTATCTATGTGTTTCCACATTTCCCTGTCCTCCTGGATGTCTTGCTCCCTCTGCATCTGGCTCGTGACTCCTTTCTTCTTCCCAGCATTCTCTCTGCCCCGAAAAATCCTGCCTAGCTATTGACTGTTCAGCTTATATTAAACCCATAAGAGTGACACATATTCACAGTTTAACAAACGACTTTTCTACAACATGAAGCTCAGTGCTTCTAAGTGTAAGAAATAAACACTTGGCCTGTAACCATGGTACTGCATTTTGTTTCGTGTTCGTGTGTGGCAGACAAGTGACTATGGCTGTGTTTGTATTTCAGAAAGCTGTTGACATGCTTTTGGACAATGAAGATAAAATTTCAGTGAGTCTTTTTATATGTAATAGACCAATTTTCTGTTGCTAATAACGCACCACAGACTAAGCATGCTTTAGAGGAAAGAGGTTGCTTTGTCTTATGGTCTGGTCCAAGATCAAGAAGCTGCATTTGGTGATGGCCTTTTTGCTGGCAGAGTGGCAAGTCAGTGTGGGGTGTTGCACAGCAGAAGACAGGATGAGCCATGTGGGAGGTCAGGGGTGCACCCTGGAAGAAAGAAGGCGGCTGTAAGGTGTCTGGAAGTGGCCAGTCTCCTTGCTCTTTTATAACTATCTTATCTCATACAACCTGACCCTCTCATAGCCCAGCTTAATCCCTTTATATGGTAATCAGCCACCTCCCACTAAATCCTTCTGTTTAAAGAGTTTTACCACCTATTTTGTGATAGGATCACCTTAGACATCAAGCATCGACTCAGGTTTTGGTGGGTCAAACCATAGCACGTGGTACTAGACGAGGGTCTGCAATACTGTGCCTACAATACAGTGTATCAGGTAATTTGTCAATGTGTTGTCTCCTCATAACTGCATTATATTTCATATTTTTCCTCAGATTAAAAAAGTAGTAGAAGAATTAGAAGACAGACCAGAATTGCAGCATGTGGTGAGCATTAGTCTTCTTTGCCCTTTTAATTCAGCAGCAGACAGAGCGCCTGTGCATTGTGTGGGAGTGCCCATGCAGAGAACTTTTCTTAGTGAACACTGCTCTCATTGGAGCTTTGACCACAGACAGTGTGCAGGAATTACTAGAATGTAACACTTGCTGTGACTTTGTGGCTAGGAATTAACCATAGGACAGACAGGTGGTTGAAGTTTGATTTACAACTACTGAATTGGGACTTTTAGAAAAATATATTGTTTTTCTATTCTCTACCATCCTATGCCTGGGGTAAATGCTTTCCTCTATAGCTGCTATTACATATAACCAAGTCATAAGTCATAGCACAAACCAGTAGTACACTATAGATACCAAGTCCTGTTATTCTGTGTTCAAGACCATAGAGTGACCAAAGAACAGATTTATCATTTTCCCCATACCTACACTGTAGCTAAATCTGCCTATTCTGTATAGGTTTGGGGGGTGTATTATGAAGGGTGTTGTCTAGATTTCCTTAGAGGCTCCTTTGTTTCCATGTATCATGTCATCCAGGGAGTAAAGCAGGAGTAGTGTCTTAACTTGCTTTCTATTGCTGTGACCAAGCGCCGTGACCGAAACCAACTTGGTGAGGAAATGGTTGATTTCATCTTACAACGTTCAAGTCACATTGTATCACTGAAGGAGGTCAAGGCAGGAATGCGGGCAGGAGCTTCAGAACAGGGATAGGAGCAGAAACCATGAAGGAGCTCTGTTTACAGCTTGCCCCTCATAATTTGCTCAGTCTGCTTTCTTAGACACTCCAAGACTACCCCGGGGGTGGCACAGTGGGTGGGGCCCTTTAACATCAATCATTAATCAAGAATGCCCTACAGACCTGCCCATAGGCTAATCTTATGGTGACATTTTTGTTTTTCAATTATTAAAGTTCCTTACTCCCACATATGTCTAGGTTGTTTCAGGTTGACAAACAAACAAACAAACAAACAAAAAAAACAGCACAAGGCGGTATTTTCTATATGCTTTAAAAATGTAGAAAAGAAAAGGCTTGAGGGGCCAAGGGGATCATCCCAGTAGGGATGGTCTTTTCTCTAGAAGTGTAGTATTCTATCCCACAGCCAGCTTCTATGCTGAAGTTGGTAAGGATTCATGGATGGAAATAAAATCTGGATATATTTGGTTTCGTTTATTGCTCAGCATTTAATGCAGATACTGTTACCATAGTTTTCATGACCACAAAATCTTAAGATTATCTGCTTACCCAAGCAAGGCTCCATTCTGCTAGCCATCTTAAAATTTTGTTTATAGAGCAACAATTTATGATGTGCTAAGCTATAATAAAACAGAGGACAGTGTTGCTCTGTGACAGTGAACCACTGAAGAGTGTCCGGTACCCCACTAAAACAGTCATCCCTACCACCCGGCAATGTAGTGCCTGCATCCTGTGTGGCATGAAAACACCTATTCAGGCAAAGTACCATATCCTGGCCATGTCCAGACCCCACTGCAGGCTGCCTGTCAGCACTCCCATCAGATTTAGTGCAGCAGATGAGCTCAGGTTTGTTGTTCCATGTCCCCTTCTTGCCGCAAAGAACTGTGGACAGCCCGAGGGATGCCTCTTGAAGTCCATGTGTTGGTCTTGGTTTGATATGCAGCAGCAGTTACCTCACAGCTCCAGGAAAACTGAGCTTCTTTATCTATTATGAACCTATTCACCAGGTTACAAACATTCATGGTATGAAATACTTTCTGTGCTTAGTGTAATTGTGGCTTCCTCCCTCTCGGGGGTTATAGGTTTGTGTTTGTATTTAACATTAGCACTGACTATCCGTTTTGGGGTGTTACATAATAAACTCAGTCTTTTCAGTAAGTAGAAAGTGGAAACCATTATTTTTAGAGTCCAGCTGCATGAAACAACTGTTATCTTTTTATTATTTTTGTTTTTTGATGCCATCAATACAGGTACTACTTAATTCCAAAAGGATTACCTTAGTTCTCTAAAAATTGATATATGGAGTGTGTAAGTATTTAGTTCCGGCTACAGGGTGTTTTTTAGAAAGTCATGTTGTAGCCCTGTGCCTTTTTATGTAAGAGAAGACAATATTTTAAAAGACTTATTTTAATTTTATGTGTAAGAGTGTTGTTGGGCTTGCACGTATGTAAGTGCACTGCAGGCTTGTTGGTGTGCATGGAGACCTGAGGAGGGTGGCACATCCCTGTAACTGGAGTTGTGGACAGGTGTAAGCTGCCATGTGGGTGTTAGGAATCCAACCTGGGTCTTCTACAAGAGTGGCAATGCTCTTAAGCGCTGAACCATCTGCCCAACCCCAAGAATAGAATTGTTATCATCTTAGACTGCTACCTGGGCATGTGATTTCTGCAGCAAGGAGATGATGACTTTAAGATTTACCATCACTAATGCTTGTGCTTAGCATACACCGGGCCTGGTTCTGCATGATACACAAATGGTAATTACTTTGAACCAGTGAAGACCCCAAGTCACAGAGTGAGGAGGAACTTGTCTCAGTTCACATAGCTGTCAGTGGCAGCCAGTCCAACCATGAACCTTCTAGGAGGGTTTCAGAATCTACTCCCGAAATGGCATTCTCCTCCCCATTCCTCAAGTTATTCTTGCTGTGTCTCCTAACCTCCATGGAAGGTGTTAACAACTGAAAGTAGTAAAGTTAACCAGCTATTTTATTCTTATTCTGATATCATGACTTATCTTGTTCCTTTTAGTATTTGCATAAGCTCTTCAAGAGAGACCATCATAAGGGACAACGCTACCATGAAAAACAGATCAGTCTGTATGCCGAGTATGATCGGCCAAACCTCCTTCCCTTTCTCCGAGACAGTACCCATTGTCCACTTGAAAAGGTAAGTCACTGTCTCACTGGGCACATCAGAAGTAGTTGTCATTTTTGTAAGACTTTTGTTGGTCTTCTCTCCCTGACTGTGTTCATCCCTGTTCAAGAGAAGGCTGCTGTTGAACCAGTGGGTTCTGCCAGCCCATTGTGGTGAACCATGGTCCTTTGGGTTAGACTTTTGGGCAGAACAGACCTTCTGTAACAGGCTTAATTTGAATAAATATTTAATCCATTGCAACAAATACCAAGATGAAGTGATATCAAGAGTCTGCATCTCTTTCTCAGAATTAGGGTCACTGGGGTAAGAGCCCGAGAGTGGGCACTGCCCGAAACCGGTGTAGCTGCTACAGTCAGGAACCCAGACTGATAAACAGAGGGATCGCGCCCATCTCTTCTCAGCATTTGCTGCTGAGCTTCTGTGTTTCTCCAACTCACTGTGTCACACTGTAACTGCCTCAGCTGTCTGACTTCCTAGTCACCTGAAAGTCTTTGGAGGACTTTGTCAAAGGAACTTTGGACTTCCTTTGTCCAAAGTCAAAGGAAGGACGTTGTCTACTCATTTGGGTAAAGGAATCAATGCACTGGTTGACATTTTTTTAACACTTTAAATGGCCTTTTCATTGTGGGTCACTGAAACTTCTAAATCAGATGTGATTTCTTTGTCAAGATCCACAGTAGGAAGTCTATTTACATAAAAGTGTTACCCAGCCTTATTTTGAAACAAAGCTAACTTTGACACATACTCATGACTTATGGATTCATGAATGATCTCATTCTTTTTTCTTTAGAAATAAGAATTCTGTACACACTGAATTACCTCTAAAACTATCATTTATGTTTACCATAAATAGAGAAAGCTACCATGAATGACAGGGTAGATTCCCTACTATGCAGACATCTCAGGCTCTGACGGGGTGTGTGTGACATCTGTGACACCCAGGAGATGACAGGGGGCGAATGGTGGAATACATCCTCACTGTTTCAGCTCAAAGACACACAGGACATGGGGCCTCTTTACCCAGATATAAATTACAATCTTTAATATCTGAATGCTCCCTCCCCAGAAACCTTTTAACATCAGAGGACTAATTCTGCCACTTCAGGTTATTTGCCTTTTCAGGGCTTGGGTAATTGCTGAAATGAATAATAGTTGCAAATGGGCAACTAGAAATTTTGAAGTCTTCAGGTCTACCTTATTTTGTGGGATTTGAAATTCATGCTTTGCAGCAACTCTGACAGTAGTACATCAGCAGCCCGGTAAGGGTGTCAGCTATTCAGTCCTAGATTTCAGGACTTAAATCAGCACAGTTCATCAACTCAAAACTCAGTGCTAAGTTTTTTATGGAATTGTTGATTGCAAGGGAGCTCCAGACTTTGTAAGAATTTCTAGCCACTACTGCTCTTTGAAGAACAGCGCGTTCCTTCAGTCTGTCATGCCTTCAGCCATGCTGTGCTCTCACTGTCTTGATACTGCTTCATCTCCACAAAAGTGCCTTAGGTGGGTAGAGGCATCTGGTACCTGGCCAGCTGAGACTTGGGGTGTGAACCGAGTGGTTAGGAGCTGAGGGCAGACATGGAGGCTAGGCCTCTGACCCTCAGGTCCCATGTTCTTCACCGTGCTGAAGGATTGTATTTTCAGGTTTAAAATGCTCACTAAAATAGCAGCAGAGGTATTCTTCAGCATTGTAAACATCAAGAAAAATACAGCTGCAGATCTGTCTTTGGACTATAATTTACACATGTGATCTTATGATTTGATCATGCCTTAGAGATGTTGCAATCATTATAATCTTGGCAGGTTTATAACTGAATTGTGATCTCATATTAAACAACATTCACAAGGTGGCAGTGTGTGTCCTTTGGGTGAACACATCAGTGAAACAAAGTGAATAAAATTTACACTAAAGGACTTAAAGCAAGGTTAACTAGGAGACATCAGAGTCAAGGCTCTGTAGAAGTCCTTGTTAAGTTGCAGCTGACAATGTTCCTCTTGCTACCCTGCAATTCCCCTATCACCTTGCTTCTATGCTGAAGCAAGAAAAAGATGTTAGAATACTACATTTGCATCTTCTTTTTTAATCAATTTCTGTCAGTTATCTTACTTTTCACCTTTGTTTGCCCTAAAATTCCCCCTCCGTGTGTGTGTGGTGTGTGTCTGTCTGTCCGTCTCTCCCTCTCTGTCCATCTAAAGGCTTTCTTCTGGAAGGATCATAGTGTCCAACATTTGAGAATCTAAACGAAGGATGCCACCACATTTGTATTAGTGTCAGTAATAGAAGAATTCTGTGTCCTGTGAATACTTCACTTTTATATTTCACTCAAAAACTCCTACATATTTCTAGAGTTTCATTATTTTTAAGGAGAATAATCTCAAGTGCAGTTAGACTCCATTTATAAATATTTTAATAACCTAGGAAACTCAAATTTCAAAGGCTTGCTGTTGTAGAAAGCTGTCCTCCAGTACAGCATGACCTGTTGAACCCTAGGCAGTTGTGATTCCTGGCAGGAGACCTGCATGAGGATGGGGAGATGTAACCAGTAACAGTGTCCAGGTAGTGTGCTCTGTAGGCCTAGACCATCCTTGTGGGTGTATAATCAGTTAAGGTACTGACCGTTGAATATCTGAAACATGGCAAATCAGTGTAAATTAACTAGCCACATAGAGTAAGTGGTTTCCGTAATGTACCATTCCAGTGACGCTCATTTCTGCCGTTAATGGTGTGTGTGACCTGAAACACTGTCCTGGCCTCATCCCTATTCTATACTGAGATGATGCTCTTTCCCCTATCTATATCTTTTGTGGATACATTGATCTTTGTGATCAGACGCCACCCCCCATTCCTTACTGTTTAAATATGTAGTCTGCAGGAAAATTTAAATCAAAAATCAAAATATCAAGATTAGCTCCTGCTGTTGTTTCTTAAGATAGATCACAGAATAGAAAGAAATGATTAACTCAAGCTGTTCTTTCTATGGCTTTGATTCTTATTTTCAAAACTGCCTGCCTGGCTGGTAGTTTCTAAATAACTACTTTAAATATGCAACCCAGTTAACTTGTTTTGAAATTGTTATTGTCTCCTCATTTGAAAAAAATACTCATTACAGACCTACTGTGAACCCAGAACCGTGCTAAGCATAGGGCTTAACAAGCACGTGGTCCCTGCAGAGTGAAATTGAATGGCAAAAATAGTGAGTAGTTAGTTATCCTAGTGATAAAGAATTATGAAGCCACATGCAGGATGAAAATGGAGGAATAATTAGTATCTGGTCCAGTGTGAAATTGTGACAATATTTGTCTCCAGTCCTTCATAGAATAGGGAGTTAGGAGTGAGGAGAAAGTTTCAGAGAGGGGACATTGCAGAGGTGGTCAGGGAGGATAACGCCATACTAGGATGGCTGGAGAGGCTTCAGGTCACCATGTAGCTACGGCAGGAGGATGGTCTGTGAGATGTGGTTCCCTAGTGAATAGTACCTGATTCAGGTGCTATCTCTCTGTGGAGCTTGTCACAGGAGTATGGCATGAATTAGTGTCGTTACTCCATACACATAGTCCTCCCTCTGCACTGTGCCAGTCGTGGGAAGACATGGTCATTTCTTGTCATTCTTTTTGTGCCCAAGAGTCTGAGGTAGACTTGATGTCTCTTTTCTGCTTCATGTTTCATGGCACCTTTGTCTCCTTAAGTGTTGTCCTTTCATGTTATTATTATCCTCACCTTTGCTTCCTTGGTTCAACCTGATCCTTCAGCATCTAGCAAAGAGAACAAAGTAAATATATGCTATTTGTTTTAGAGTGACTGTGATTTATCAGTACACAGTGCATCTTTTTTTTTTTTTGAAATGCAAAAGCAAGGTTTATTGGGTGCACGTTATAAGCTGGTAGGGATCTTGCCAGTGTAGCAGGGAGAGGAGGTACCCTACCTTTCTGGAGAGCATTATTTAAAGGTAAAACCAGAAAAGTTATTTTAGCAGGGTGTGTGCTGGCAGGCGAGCCTATCTACAATGGTTGGAACATTAATGATGGTCTGTTTTTGGGTGGTGCCTGAGTGGTATCAGTTTGTGGTCTTTCTTGCAACCAGGTATTGCCATTTAAAACTACTGAGACTCAGGCTTCTATTGAGCTTTTCATGGCTGGGTTCTACATTTCCTACTTCACAAGTAACAATGATAGGATTCAGTCATGGGTTTTACTTGCCCATGGGTTTAAGGAGATAGAATTGGGACCTAAGAATTTAGTTAAAAGATTTTTCTCGGGCAGTGGCCAGCCTACTAGGCCCTGTAGCTCTGATCTTTTGAGTACAACCAAGTTGTAATTATAATTCTGAATGTGCTCTTTTGTTACGTGGTTCTGCATAAAGAACCAAAGTGTTTTTTTAATTGTAGGACCATTTTAGTTAGTAAATCCATTAATTAACAACTGTCGGCCTATTTTTTTCTAGTATATCAATAGGCACTATAGGTAGCCATTTTGTCTCCCATGCCAGAGAGTTTCCCGTTGTCTCAGCATTTCTACCTATTCTGGGAAGGGAGGGTGGGACGATGTGAGCCTTTCTGAAACTACTTCAAGCTGACATTGGGGCATTGTTATCAGGGCCCAAGTAGGCTGCAAGGCTAGCCAAAGGTAAGGAAGGAATTCAGGCAATGGGGTACTCAAAAGATGCATCTGGTTTACAGACTCTGTTGAAGAGACAGGGAGCATTCACATCAGTTGGACTGGTCCACATCAGCTTTCAGGAAGTCCAGGCCTCAGTCATTCAGAGCAGGTTGTAGTCATCAATTGCTGATTAGATGTATCTGCCAGCCAAGTGAAAGACTATTGAGATAAGTTAAAACCAAGAACAGAAGTTAAAATTTATGTACTTAAAGAAAATTAATAATTTTAGGCCCATATTGAAAACGATATTGTAGAAGAAAAACAGATAACGGATATTTATTTTTTTTTTAGCTTTGCAAAATCTATTTTTTTATTTAATCTACAACTTTAAACATTTTTTTTATTTTTTTACATCCTTT